ATCAAAAAATCTCAAACTTTTCTTATAGCTTTCAGTCCTCTACTCTCAAATCCTTTAGAATTAAAATTCTATCAGATAAACTTCCTGCTCCACACATCCTACATAAATGCTATTCTTCATATTCACCTACTAGCCACCAATGCCACCAAACTAGTTTACACCTTCACTAGACAACTTGTCCATCTAACCAATTACTACTTAGTCTTATCGATATCTCATTACAATATACTCTTAACTTAAATATACTCGATACTACACCTAATATTATAACCAACTTATATCACCAAATCAAACTACTTTACAGCATGTCTATTCACAATAGATCTGATGTACCATCAATTTTCTCCACTCTAACAGGCTTAATACCAAATGAACTCATTGATACTATTGCAAATTTGTTTTCCAAAAAAGTAGCTACTATACTTTCTATAAAGTTTTTACTTTATCTTAATCAACAAATCTATCACAAAATCTGGATTCTCTACTGTATTTCAAGATCCATAGCCCAACCTTCCAACTTTAATTTATTATCAAATCCTGTCTCTTCTGTATCACACATTCTCGCTTTTAATTCAATTCATTCTAAAATTAACTTCTGGTATATCCAATAGATTAAATATCAAACCAATCCTCTATATATTATTACTAATACCCAAATCTAGGTAAGCCTTGGCCACTCTGGTTGGTTTAGGTTGCAGATAAATTAGTTTAAGCTTCTATTCTTTCTATAATATTTTAAAAGTAGACTTGTACTTTATGTAAAATCTTAATTAAATATTCAATAAAGATAGAGGCATAGCCTCACCATTAATATTTAAAAAAAAAAAAAATTAATATATTACAACTTAAATTAAAAATTTTAATTAAATATATAAATTTTTAATTTATTATAAGAAACAATATAATTGATATAAATTAAATATATAAATATTATTTTTTTAAAATTTTTCAAACAGAAATAGACAAATTAAAAAATATTTTAGTTAATTAATGCATTTTAATTATGATTAATAAAACTACTAATATTTATAAATATAGTATTACTAATGTTTTAATTAGCTTTTGAGATTAAACTAAATTAGTAAAAACTAAATATCTGAATTATATTAACTACAGTACACCCTGTTAAAACCGATTCTGTTAAAACTGATAACCTCTTATAATCGGTACAAAATTGGTCCACCATAGCCATTTCATAATCCAAACCCAGTAATCTGTTATTTCCGATAATCGATACTCAAAAAATGAGATATCGGGTTTGAAAACAAAGGTAATATCATGTGAATAGACATGTAACCAATAACTACCTCCGAATCGCCATCAAATTTTCACTTTCACGTAATTACCATCCAATAGCAAGCCTTATTTTAATGTAATGTTACATGATCAGAAAGATCAAAACAAAACGATCATTTTTCAAAAATCACTTATTTCTTAAAAACTTGCATAAGAAACTACCTTTTGTGCTCTTTTAGTAAAATTGCTTAAGGAATTTTTTTTAACTCCGCTAGTTCCTCATTTTGTTAGAAATGCTAACCCTAACCTAAATAAACTTTAAAGAATTTTTGATCATCACGTGACAGTAACTTTTTTACAGTGACCCTGGAGAAGATTGTAACCAATACATGTACAAGCTTCATCTTACAGATTATCAGGTTTTAAGTACTCAAGCTCTACTTCTAGATTATAACTGGCTGCTTATACTGTAAGTGCGACTTTGACTATTTTTTTTATTATGCCATAAATTAAGAAAAGAAAAATGAATTACAATTCATTATTTTACTGATCTATCAATACTTACATGTTATTTTATTTAGATAAAATAAAGAGACTCAAGAATTTATTTATTTATGCTAAGAGAATTTATAAAAGAAAGTTTTTTTTTAATACTGTATGTTTTAATCGTTTTATGGATTATTACTGAAATCATGAAAGCAAACCTTAAAAAAATTTGTCCAGTGTACATTTAACCTGTTTTTCATTTTGTTCTCTTCGAACCTCTTCACGAATATGGGTTTGTATTTTATGAAGAGATTTTAATGTTGTGCCACTATCATCAACCATCTTAGTAATGAATTTAATGCATCACACAAAACAGCCAACTTTTCTTTTGCAGTTAGAGTTGGTTCTATGACCTCTACCTCTTCTTCTTCCTCTTGCTCTATTTTCATGGCACCTTGAACAAAGTTTTCATCAGTAAACTGCTAGTGCACTTCTTGTTCACCTTCAGGATTCAATCAGTTATTAACTGACATTGGAATACGAATATGTAATGCATCGATTTGATGTTGAAGTTCTTCAACTAATTCTTGTTCTTCAGCTAGGTTTTTCTCTACAATTTCGGAATCATTAGCATTAGTAATAGAATGAACAGAAATAGGTAATCCGGCTTCATTACGTGGTGTTACAATTTTTGTGTGAGCCCAACAATGCTTAATTGTTTCAGAAGACACCTCATTTCAGGCAATTTTTGCCCACCTTATGTCTTGCAACTGATCAACCTTATAGATAGCTTTTTCATCAGCCTCATCCAAATCAATTGCATGCTGAAGTTGTAGGCGATGATAATAGAGCTTGAATGATGCAATAATACCAGCATTCATGGGTTGGATTTTTGATGTTGTTTTGAATGATAAGAAAAGAACTTCCATATTGGAAAAAGAAAGAGAGCCAATAACATGTGTAGAGGCCTTGTCAAGAATAAGAAGAATATGACAGTTTGATTCTTTCATCATCTTATCTAATTTTTTCATCTACTCTTGAAAAAACATAACAGTCATCCACGCTTTTAGGTTATTACGATAGTAGAATCCAAGTTGTTTGCCAGTTTTTTTTTTAAAACACCTAGATTAATTACAACTCCTGGTGTCACTCTTTAGATGAGCTTTTTACAACAAAAAAATAAAAAATAAAAATAAACATCTAGGTTTTTTCACATGCCCAATAAAAAATGGTTGAAGCTTGTGGGTACCATTAGCATTAGCCGTAAGTGCAATTGTAATTCTTATTTTGTCTTTTTCTGATCCTTCAATCTGACGAGACGCAATTATACGGTCAGGGGCCATAGAGTAAAACAAACCTGTTTCATCTATGTTATAGATATCATGTAGAAGGTATCAATTAGTAGTGCTAACGATCGCTGAAAGACTTGAGTTAATAGCTTCAATGTCTGCGGAACCACTTTTACCATGTAATTTAAATTTATAAAAACTATGCCTTTCTTGAAAGGAATATAACCAGCCATTTGAAAATTCAGGTTGGTTATTTTTAGGAATATTTAACATGTCTGCAAACTTTTTACCCTTGGCTTTAATTAGATCACTACTCAGATGTACACCTTGGTGTTCACATTGTAATACCCAATTTGCCAAGGCAGTATCTAATTTAGAGAACATTATAATATAGTGCTTCTTAATTCCAAGGTCATTTGATGTCATTTTATTAAGCTCTTTTTTTTTTTTTAGGATGTCTGATATTGTACTTTGACCTGGGGCCTTTGTAAGATTAAATTCTTTTTTTGCCCATTCAGCAAGTTCTTTTTGGGTTATTGACAGATTCGTTTGATAATGATTACATATCGCCTTTCTTTGTTTATTAGTTAAATTGCCCATGTTTTTTGTATATGAATGCGAATACTGTTGATAGAGAAATTTACAAAAAAAAAAAGCAGAGTAAAAGAAATTTTTATACTAATTTAATTCTTTATTAATTTTATTTATTTTTCAATACATTTTAGCAAAATATTCTACATCTAATCTAATTTTCTGATGATGGCTAATTCGCTTGGTTATGCATTGAGAGTACTTTATTTTTTATTTTTTTTTTTATTTCTAAGCATTTAATGTTTCTCTTATCAAATATACTACCAAATTTATGTGCATTGACACAGCCTTGACACAACTTCGTTGCTTTTATTCTTTTCTAAGAAAATTAGCAGTTCGATCTTAAGCCAACTCCAGCATCAGGATTGTCAGTAGTAACTTACTGTACTATGGTAAATTACCAGTAAGTTACCATGATAAGTTACTGGTAATTACTATTTTGGAACTTGCCGCTAAATTATAATTTACAATTCTGTCAGAAACTGGTTAGGTTCAAGTTATATAATAGCTTTGATCCATGGCTTAAAGCTAAGACTTAACTCAGTTTCCAACTGTTGTTGGTGCTAATTTTATTTATGTACATACATATTTTTATGTTTCATTATTCATATTAAAACGTTGTAATGGAATGTGTTCTATATAAAATACATAGTTAATTCAAGATAGATAAGGCTTATTTATAGATTGATTTTCATATAACTATTAGAAAATCAAGTAATCAGCTGTTAACTTGTGAATATATAACTGATATTCCTAGAAGCTATTCAAAAATCTTACCTGTGCAGAAAATCTGCTTATTGTTCATTCAAAGCTACCAAGCCTATTCAAAAAAAAGACCAGAGTAGAAAATTAGAACAGAAATTCTAGCACGAATATTAATAGTTTAGATTAGAGATGCAGGTGAATCGTCTCAATGATTATCATAACTAGTTATAACATAAGCTTTAACTAGTTATAGCTTAAGTCATAACATCATTGTAACAATTCGCCTGCATCTCTAGTTTAGATCACGACCATTGATTTCATTAAAAAAGACCAATTGGTTTGAATCACTAACACCTTTATACTTTTGTCAATTTATGTCTAATGTGTCAGATTTTCTCTTGAAGTTACAAAAAATAAAGATTCTCATTTAACTTTAACTGATCTATAAGTAAAACGACCTATAATTAGAGTATAAATTGGATTAGCACAGTAAATGCAGTGCAAATTTTCCATATATATAAAGTGCATATAAATTTTTTTGCATATAAATTTTTTTTTAAATTTGGCGTTTACAATTTTAAAGTTTGTGCATATATTGTTTATATATAAATAATATGCACTGCATTAATAAAAATTTTTTACATTGTGTTATTGTTATTTGTTCAAATAAGTTTGGTAACCAGCCAATCATCTTTCGCGTATATCACGTGATATGGTATTCATTAAATTTTGGATTTTTTTCAAATCCGATACCCTCTTAAAACCGATATAAAACCTCTCTACAATGCACACCAGTTTTGACAGGATGTACTGTATTCTACAATTTTATAGTTAATTTTGTCTATTTTAAATTTTTATAATATTTTTTATTTTAATATTATTTTATTTATTAGTAATAATACAGTATAATTAAAAAAAGTATATTTGAATTTTTTAATTAAATTAATGCTTTAACTTAAACATAATTGCTATTTTGTCTGTATTTTAAGTTAGTTAAAAATTATTAAATATATTTTAATTATTTTAAATTTTTTGAATATATAATTACAAATACCAAAAAAGTTTTTTTTATTTTTCTATTTATAAAAAAAGATAACTAAATTTTCTTTCTTCAAATATTATTTTATTAAATTTTTTTAATTTATTTTTAAAATAATTTTTAGAATCTTCTGAACTCAATATATATTTATTTTTATTATTTATAAAAACTTATTAAAATAATTAATTTAATTTTGTTAACTAGATAAAATTATTTAGTTTAGTTTTTTTGTTATAAAAAACACATTTTATGATTTTTAAAATCTATTAAAGAATTAGCCAAACTTTTTTAAATTATAAAAATATTCTTATTATTAAAATAATTATTAAATTTATTATTTTAAATGTTTAATAATAAGTATAATATTTGGAATATAGCAATTTAGTAAAGTAAATAAGTTGTTAATCTTTTAAGTAGTAGGTTAAGTATTCAAAACTCATCAATAGTAAAAATTTAAATAATTACTTATATAATACTTATATTATAGTAACTGTTTTTAATAATTAGATTAAGATATTTGTAATAATAGTTATACTAGTATAACTGACTAATTATAAAGTATTTATATAACTAGTTATATAAAAAAATACAAACTGACATTAAATAGTGCAACTTTAGATAAGTTCTTGTAACTATACAAATCTGTTAAAATTAAAAAACAAAAAGTTTATTTATAAAAACTCAAGCAAAAAATTAGTACAGATTTTTAACAATATTATTATAAAATAGAATTCAAAATATGAATAAAAAATTTGACATACTATTAGGTTGAAATATACCTATTTAAGATTATGTAATTAATACTTATTATTAACTAATCACAGCATAGTATATATTAACTCTAATTGGTTAATTATTTAATGTATAGTTATATATACATTATATATAACAGTTAATTTTAACAAATTGTTTGTTATAAAACAAATTAATAAAAAATATAACATATATATTTTAAGATTATATTTTATATTCTATAACATAATCTGAGAAAATGTCAAATAATTCAAAAGTTAGCAATAAATTATATTTTTATTTTATAGATCAAAACAATTTAGTATATAAAAAAAATTAATATTTACTATTTAACAATAATCAAAAATAATTAGTAATCTAAAAAATTTTATTTAAAAACATATATTTTACTATTAATTATTATAAGATTTATATATAAATACTAAATACTAAAAAAATAACTAAAACATACCAAAAAAACAAAAAACTTAAATTTTATTTAATAAAGAACTTTTATTACTGTTTAATTAAATAGATTTTAATATTTTTATATCTTGTATATTAGTTTTATAAAAATTAGTTTGTTAAATATTAGTTTTTTTGTAAATTTAGATGTTTAGTATAGTTAGTATTTTGTTTATTTTATTGTTAAATTAGTACTCTTAGATTATAGTAGATAAATTAATATAGCTTTAAATTTGTTTAATACTGTAATGTAATATATTTGTATTTGTAAACTATAAATTAAAAAAATTAATTTATTTATTATTAATTTATAAACTTTTTTATAATGCCAACTTGTAAATTGTTTTTATTAACATTTATATTGTTATTATAATTTTACATTTTTATTTATATTACTATAATACTATATACTATAATTATCCAATATAGCATTATATTTATACTTTTCTATTCTATTATTAAAACTATAATATTTCAATTATTGTTACTAAATTA